CCACAGTTTTGTGCCAGTTTTGATGTCTTTAGCTGCAGAGTCTTGCCGGAGTCGGGCGGAGTCGGTACACCTGCTGAAACCCCATTTACAATGGGGAAAAGGGTTGAAAGAGTTCCAACTTTGTGACTCCAGACGACTCCGCAAGAAACCGCAACATGCGCAAGATGATGTCACTGAACTGTTTGATTTGTTTGATGCCCATTTTTGGGGTTGGAAAGGTATATAGAATTTGGACTCCCAAAGGCGGTCCTCCCCAGTTCAGCACGTGGATGTTTGTGTCATCCTTCCTGCCTTCTGTGGTTTCATGTTTTCTGGCGAACTTTTGAAGCAGCTGTGTGCGTTCCGAGCGTCATGTCGCAACCCCAAAAACAGGATTGCCACACGCTCCAACGCGTGGATTTGGCGCGCCCGTTTTTGGTCTCGCCTGCTATTAAAATAGAAATTGAAAACAGCCTCGAAATGGCCCTGTCCAAAGCGAAAAGCGGTAGCGCGTGGCAATCCCATTTTTGGCAGTGTGGAACCTTGCGACCTGCTCGAAACACGAAGCTCTTACATTACGCAAGTAAATCAAAGTTGGGTTTTGTTCAAGCAGCAAGCTTCAACGCAACTGGGGAGGACCACTTTTTGGAGTCCAAAAAGCCAATGTGTTTACGGCCCCGAAAATGAGATTGCTGCAGTGACCCTTTTTTGCGAAAAATGGCGCAGCTTTACCAAAAAGCAATACTTTTTGCAAGTGTAACGGAATGGCAGGATTCCGGGGAACACGGTTGCTGATTGAAGGTCTCTAGCCCCGCCTGCATGTCGCCAGTCTTTGCCAAAGCATCATGTTGTTTGGAATTGTTTGGGTGTTGTTGTCGCAGGCTTTCGCAACATGGCGTGGGTGAGGTGCTGATTCCGCTGCGACATTGCTGGCGGGATGCTTTTTCTGTGTTTGCGTTTGCACTGCTCAGTTTTGTTTTGGTCTCTTGATGCGTTGTTTGTTTTTGGGCTCCCCCCCTTCGCCCCCCTAGACTCCTAACGCGGCAACTTTGCGGGTCGGGTTGTGTATGTCGCCCGGAGTTCAGTATCATCCGGTTAAAGAATAATAGTATATATTTAAAACCGGATGAATCCTTTGTTTACATTGGGGGAAGAGTTTCGATTTCATGACTCCAGCAGATTCCGTAAGAAGGCTGGAGATGCAAAACTTCGATTTTACCACAGTTTTGTGCCAGTTTTGATGTCTTTAGCTGCGGAGTCTTGCCGGAGTCGGGCGGAGTCGGTACACCTGCTGAAACCCCATTTACAATGGGGAAAGGTTGAAAGAGTTCCAACTTTGTGACTCCAGACGACTCCGCAAGAAACCGCAAGATGCGCAAGATGATGTCACTGAACTGTTCGATTTGTTTGATGCCCATTTTTGGGGTTGGAAAGGTATATAGAATTTGGACTCCCAAAGGCGGTCCTCCCCAGTTCAGCACGTGGATGTTTGTGTCATCCTTCCTGCCTTCTGTGGTTTCATGTTTTCTGGCGAACTTTTGAAGCAGCTGGGTGCGTTCCGAGCGTCATGTCGCAACCCCAAAAACAGGATTGCCACACGCTCCAACGCGTGGATTTGGCGCGCCCGTTTTTGGTCTCGCCTGCTATTAAAATAGAAATTGAAAACAGCCTCGAAATGGCCCTGTCCAAAGCGAAAAGCGGTAGCGCGTGGCAATCCCATTTTTGGCAGTGTGGAACCTTGCGACCTGCTCGAAACACGAGCTCTTACATTACGCAAATAAATTAAATGAAAGTTGGGTTTTGTTCAAGCAGCAAGCTTCAACGCAACTGGGGAGGACCACTTTTTGGAGTCCAAAAAGCCAATGTGTTTACGGCCCCGAAAATGAGATTGCTGCAGTGACCTTTTTTTGCGAAAAATGGCGGAGCTTTACCAAAAAGCAAGACTTTTGCAAGTGTAACGGAATGGCAGGATTCCGGGGAACACGGTTGCTGATTGAAGGTCTCTAGCCCCGCCTGCATGTCGCCAGTCTTTGCCAAAGCATCATGTTGTTTGGAATTGTTTGGGTGTTGTTGTCGCAGGCTTTCGCAACATGGCGTGGGTGAGGTGCTGATTCCGCTGCGACATTGCTGGCGGGATGCTTTTTTTTGTGTTTGCGTTTGCACTTTCGCACTGCTCAGTTTTGTTTTGGTCTCTTGATGCGTTGTTTGTTTTTGGGCTCCCCCCCTTCGCCCCCCTAGACTCCTAACGCGGCAACTTTGCGGGTCGGGTTGTGTATGTCGCCCGGAGTTCAGTATCATCCGGTTAAAGAATAATAGTATATATTTAAAACCGGATGATTCCTTTGTTTACATTGGGGGAAGAGTTTCGATTTCATGACTCCAGCAGATTCCGTAAGAAGGCTGGAGATGCAAAACTTCGATTTTACCACAGTTTTGTGCCAGTTTTGATGTCTTTAGCTGCGGAGTCTTGCCGGAGTCGGGCGGAGTCGGTACACCTGCTGAAACCCCATTTACAATGGGGAAAAGGGTTGAAAGAGTTCCAACTTTGTGACTCCAGACGACTCCGCAAGAAACCGCAACATGCGCAAGATGATGTCACTGAACTGTTTGATGCCCATTTTTGGGGTTGGAAAGGTATATAGAATTTGGACTCCCAAAGGCGGTCCTCCCCAGTAGTACGATGACCAGACCCGCATTGATTTCAGTGAATGCCTCACTCACAAGGATGACTCCTTTGGGCCTACGCGCAGTGACAGTTTCATCCACGGCTGCTTTGTCCTTCCGGGTAGGTTTGGTTAACCCCGCCGGGGAGGAGTCATCGCGGCTGGACGTCGCCCGACGAGACATGCGGGGACTCGGGTCTGGCGAATCACCATAGTCAACTTCGTCTGCCAAATTGGCACCGTAGGTGAACGGAGGGGCTCGTAGTGGATCAGCTGTTCGGACAGCAATATGGTCCGCACTATGCGACCTGGATAGCTTCGATGGTGGACCAGGCTGCTGCATGTCCCTTCCCGTGTCCACAGAGCGCGCACGTTTGTGCGATGACGCAATGGGGCTTGACAGTTTGCTCTTTGCAGCTTTGTTTGCTGTGGCTGGGCGGGTTGGGTCAGTGCTCGCTAGCCAAAGTTCTTGTATCTCAAAGAGGGTCACTGGCACACAATCGCTGTCAATCAGTGCAAAATTGATGGTCGGAAAGAGGAACACACAAGCATCAAGGATACACGTCCCTGCCCATGTCGGGTGTACTTTATGCAGACCAGTGTCATCTGAAATGTGGACAAAGACAACTGTGGTGAGTTCTCCATATGGACCGACA